AACAACAACACAGAAGACCATCTCGCACATCACCATATTGGGATGGAACAGCAATTAAAGCATTACTTATCTGTGTTAAGTGAACCTGCAACTACCTCACAAGTCAAACAATGATTTATCACACTATCCTATTCCAGTGATCACTCTCTACATTCTGATCATTAGCATGTTTGTGAACAAGCTCTGTTCACTGACTACTGAATAACCATGCATTGGCCTGCCGCTTTAATCTGCTGTAACTTAATTTGTAGCGGCCAACCAAATGTAGAACTATGAAAGTCCCAGAGCTTATAGACACACACATTTCCAGGACTTGTTGGGGGAAACCACAATACTCAATCGCTTTCTGAATTTATGTTACTTTTGTATTACCATAAAACAAAGCATGGATGTACAAAAAGCAATGGCTGCTTTCTCAACTTTTTCTCAAAAACCAGCAAGCTCCCAGACAGGCCTATATCCCATTATTGCAAAGCTCAGATATAAGACAACTTCCTCCTAGCTAATCAAGCTCTGACATGCAGCACCTTCGCTTGTCCTAACTGCATGCAGAAAATTGCTTTTTAAAATCAAAATACGTTCAATGTTTGAGAGTCACCAGTCTACTTGCCACCAGCTTTAATAGCAAGTCCATTACTATGCTATTTGGATGTTGATCCCATTGAAAACAGTGGGATTCTACACAAACATGCACTGACCATACCAGGTTGTCAAAATAAATAATCTACAACTGTACCTTCCATAAACTTTTGTAATCCACCTACAAATGCTTTTCAGAATTCTCAATATGCACCCTTGGATTGAACTTAGCTCCTCAGATAAAATATTGTTTGTGCCATTCAGTGTAGCATCATTATTTAAAGACATTCCTGTAAGCAGCACAATTTAAAATATTATATTTGGCATCACATTTGATGTTGCACTTCCATCTTACAACCCTTCAGTCTGTTGCCCAATACTACAGGCAAAATTCAAACAGCAAGCTGAAAAGCTCAATTATACTTTTAGGGTGTCATATCCATTGTTCTGGGTAATCAAGAACAAGGCTGGTTCACACATAATGCCAAACAATGATTTGGTATTCCATGCATGAGCCTTGTGCTAGCACACTTCCCCTCCCCCTATACGTGCTAAGTCAATGTGACTTTCTTTTTATCACAAACCATTATTTTTAATTATGTGGGAGATGGAAAATTATGCTTTGCACTTGTCTTGAAACCAGGATTACAAGTCTGCTTTGAGGTTTGCAACCTGGATTCAAGTCAAGCAAACTTCTTGTGGAACCAAACCAGGAGTTGGTGTTATGGCTACACTGAAACATAGCCTCAGGCATGGTCCAGAGGGGAATGATGCAGCAACTTTGCGACTAAGTCAGTGCCAAAACCAGAAGCTGCTGAAAATTATACATATATATTTATACACTTGCAGTTTGATACAAGTTATAGACTTATTTGCAAGTAGCATTTTTTCCCAAATCAGTTGTGGGCAAATTTCCCAAATATAGAAAAACAGCTGCTACATCACCTTTGCCAATATTAAGCTTTAGAAATCATTACTACAACGCACAAAGCTTTTTCTTAGCACAGAAACTTCAGGATGCTTACACATATATTTTCAAGCAGAAAGTACTAAATAGAGGAAACTCCCATATAAATTTTTTAAATTTGTGCAACATGCTATAAAAGAAAGCCACCTTAAACCAAAGCCTATCACATAGTTCTCAATCACTGCATGGTTCAATCTGGTATTCTCCAACTACATCATGTTTATGTTGCAAATTATATATAAAATAACAAGCAGCAGAAAAAACAGTGCTACGAGAGCGGAATAATTTGCCAAAGCTAGTATTGTACAAATTATGGCCACTGCTGCCAAGAAGCAGAAATCTTTGCAGCATTTGCTTTACCAGGGGGCTTTTTAGACAGCCCTACAAAAGGTGGATTACTGAAACACTATGGGTATGATCCATTTGCACCATGAGATGGCACTTGTGAACAAGTCAATTGGGTGGGGGGAGATTTGCAAGTACTTCCAATATCCCTGCCCAGTCCTCCCTCTCCATGCATTGCAAGTTAGCTGTGCTTGCATCAGGTGATGATAGAATATCAGTATGGGGATATGTGAGGTGGCTGTCCTGTCATACCACCTACCTGTGTGCACACACAGGTAAGAGGAGAAGGGCATAAGAGAACAAAACTGTTAATCACTACTGGAATCTTCCGTTTGTAGGTAAAGTGCCCACCACACAAGTGCATTGTGCCCTATACATGCTTCTTTCACAAAAGTGACATTTCTTATTTAGGGACAAAGTCTATTTGTACTATTGTACTGTTATGGGCTTCCTCATAAAGTTTTACATATGTTCACCTACATAAAAAGTTCATTAAAAACAAAAACATTTAAATAATGAATTTCAGTTATGGTATCTTACCAGCAAAAGTAAAGCAAAAAAGTAATTTACCCAACTAGTTTAACACATGAAGTATCCCAAGTGTTCTAAGTACACTCAATATTATACAAAGCATGCTAGAAACTATCTACATACTGGAACTTTAACCTCTGGAAGACTTGTTCATAAATATGTCCCAACAAGCCAGTATTATCATACTTCTAAGCTGATACAGTTGAACAGACTGGACAGTATTATTAAATCTATTCTAATGATCTTGCATTTGTGATAATAAGCACTACCACTCCCTGATTTTGAAGGGAGAAAAATAGCATTTGAGCCAGGTGCTGCACAGCAGTGCGTCTTACAGGAGTCAGTAAAACTTGATGATTCATCATATAATATAGTACAAGCATTCATGAGCAATCTAGTATTACGTTTGGCAATAATATAAACAATTTTGAAGACTTGGACTCAATAAAACTGCTCCTTTTGTTGTTGTTTCCTCAAAAAGCAGTTCAGATTTCACCTCCATAAGCTAAACATGAGCTTAGCTATCTCTCCTGTAATAAGTTATGCCTGCCCTCCCTGCATATCATCCAGGAACATATGGAAGGGGCATATAAGAAATAGCTTTCTGGTAGTGGTCTGATTATGCAATACTCTCTTGAATTTCTCCAAGGCCATCTATGTATGTCAAAAGGTGGAGAGAAAGTTGCTGTAACATTCCAAGCGACCGCCTCAGTGTAACAGGCAAGTCTCCAGTCTCTCTATTCCACTCTTCCCCCAGTTTCAAAGCTAGAAATAGAGGGCTAGAGCATGTCATCTGAATTCCAACTATGAACACACTGAGAACCCAGACCGAAGGTTTAAATGTCACAGTACTGGCCCAGTTCAAACGCCAAAGGGTGAAAAGGCCCAGCAGCATTAACCTACAAAGGATATAAGCCCACGTGGACTTTTGGAAGACCTTTGTCCCACATCCACTACCATATGGATCCTCCAGTAGCATTGTAACACGTGTCCGCGAGTGTTTCGGGGTTACTGAAAGGGAGGCGGCGGTACTGCAGAGGACGGGGCCGCACATGGGAAGCCCAGCTTCCACGTGCGAGGCCTAGCCCATCTTTTCCTGCTCACCCGCTTGACGTGGGGGGGGGAGGGTTTCACTGTCACCCTCGGAAAAATACGCGCTGAGGCCCTGAAAGGGGGTGGAGTGGGGGCTTCTTCGGAGCCGCAAAAGAAAGGCGAGCGGCGGCCCGGGGGGGGGGTCGTTGGACTGGCGTGGAGTGAGAGGAAGAGAGGTCCAAAGGGGAAGGCCCCACGGCGAGCTCAGGAGAAATCACATGCTCTCCGCGACAGAAAAACCACGTTGCCTTTGCTGCAGCGGAATGCTGGGAAAGGAGGAAGCGCCGAGCACGGCGGCGCACAGAGTCACACACACCCACGCCCGGCCATTGGGCGGCGGGGCGCTGAGCGACGGGAGCTTTCAAACCGTCGCCAGAGGCACGTTTGCACCGGGGCCTAGAGCGGCGCGGCGAGGAACCTTCGGAAACGCACCGCCTCCCTCCTTCCCGCTCCCCGCCTCACAGCGCGGCGGCGGCCGCCGCCGGGCCGCGTCCAGCCTTTGGGGCCTTCCCTTTCCTATGCCTATTTGCATACAACATGCTCTCCTCAGGGCTCTTTCTCCAAAGGGGCCCCCGGCTGTCGGCCGACCCCACCGTGTAGAAGACAAATAAACGTTCGACAGTTTTAAACTACAACAGCCAACCTGCGTTTTTAAATCCTCTCTGGCTACTTTGAAAGGTCACAGTCACACTCCACACACCCCAAATATGCCGGGCTTCCCTGCCGACTTTCGGTCGGGGTTAGGTCTAAGCCTCACGAGCTCCTCTCCCCCTCAGCCAACCAACCACCACGCCATTTAAAAAGCGAGGCTATTCGGGGAAAGGAAGCGGCGTGTGGGGGGGGGGGGGAGATCGCTCATGAAACATTCACGATCCGATCAATGCTGCAACGGCGGGGGTGCCTTCCGTGCCCGATTAAGTCTTAAAAGATTTATTCACTTCAGTTCCCCTTAGGAAAAGCCCGATTCCCTGAGCACGCACGCGGGAAATGGGGAGGCACTCGGGGGTGGCACCCTTCCTCCCTCTCCCCCCTTCTTTTCTTTCCCTTCAATAAAGGTAGTTCCACCCATGCCCAGCGCGGGCGTGTTTCCCAGCGAGCAAGGCCTTGGACGTCTCACGCTCGATTTCGAAAGCCCCGTCCCACCATGCTTGCATCCACCCTCCATTTGCCTGCCATCGATCCCGCGCTCGCTCTTTCCCCCCATTAATTTTTCTTATAACGAAGCGGTTCAAGGAGCGGAGGGCGAGGTGAGATACAAGCAGGGTGGATGCAGATGGACAAAGACGGGGTGGAGTTCCACCGTCGGGGGGGGGGGAGGCGGGTGTGTGTGTGTGTGGAGAAGAGAAAATGTCACCATATTGCGGAGGGAAGATCGCCCTCCGCCAGTGGCCGCGACGCTCTTCCTTCGCCGATTGCCCCAAACGAGACCACCATCACCGAAAGCACCGCCCCCCCTCCCTCGCCCGGGTCCCCCGCTGCTACCCACCTGGGGGCGACTGTCCGTTGAGGGTGACCAGCGCCACCGGGGCGTTCTTAGTCCAAGGGTTCACCTTGGGCGGGGGGGCCTCGATGAATTCCTTGCGCCCAACGCCTCCCGTCTCGCCGCCCTCCTCGCCGCCGCTGCTGCTGCTACCGGCCTCGCTGGGCAGCCGCGTCGAGTCGGTGCCGCCGCCGCCGCTCCTCTGGTGCAGCAGGTTCTCCTTCTCCTGGTTGTTACTGTCCTCCTTCTGCTGCTTGATGCTGGGGGGCTTGAGCAGCGCCCCGTTTCGGCGCAGATGCTGCTCCCCCACGTTGCCGCCGCCGCCGCCTTCCTTGCTGCAGCTGTCGGGGCCGCCCCCCTTGCCCTCGTCGGCGTTGGCCTTCTCTCCTTGGTGCAGGAGGTGCTGCTCCCCTTTCTCCTGAGGCTTCTTCATCACCAGCCCGTGCTCCTCGGAGGGCAGAAGGGGGTTCGCGGGCAGGAGAGCCTCCACCTGGGTAGCCATCTGCGCCCCCGCGGAGCCGCCTCGTGCCCCCGGCTCCAGGCTCTCCCCGGACAACACGCGCCCGCCCCAAACTTTGCCGACTTCCCCCTCCCACCCCCGAAAACCGCCTCGCCTCGCCCGGAGCTCTCCTGCCTCCCCTCTTTCTCTCTCTTTCTGCGCCCCCCAACCCCTTCCTCAGTCAGATGCGCACCCCGGAGCCACGGGGTGGGGGCTCGAGCCGCCGGCTTCCTCCCCCCACCCTTGAAACCCAACCCCGGCGTGCCCCCTCCCCGTCTCCTCTAATGCCGCCGCAGCAATATGGAGAAGCAAGGAGACCACGCGACTGGCCGGGCGGGAGCGCGCGCCCTTCAGCCAGCTCCGCCTTAGAGAGGCCCCCGGGAGCGCGCACGCCGGTCCCGGCCGCGAGCGCGCCTAGGAAGTTGGGGAAGGCGAGCGAGCGGGCAGGTAGCCCGAGCTCAGGGCGGTGGGTGCGCCGGGGACGGGACGCGCGCGTGCCTGATGCAACTCGGCGAGAAAGAGGAGACGCTCCTTAAAGGGACCGAAGCAGGCGCGGTTGCCGACTTGGGGCCTCTCCGCGCAGGCGCCACCACCCTGCTTCCCGGCTCCGGCTAGCCCTCGGGAGGCAGAGCACGGCCTGCTCGGCTCCAGCGAAGCTCTAGCTAGCTAGTCCTTCCAGCTGTTTGCTTTTGGGAGTAACCAATAACGTAAATAACGTAGCCTGCCGAATGGCCGGATCCTATGGATCCTTTTGGGAGTAGATCCCGCTAAATGCAAAAGCGTGTGCATAGGATTGCATTTCTTTCTCTCCTCGGTAGCAGCCTTCAGAGCCATTTAAGGCTCTGAGCAGGTAGCCGTCAGCCACAGAGGGGAATCTACTGGCTCCCACTTTCCTGTATCCTCCTAATTAGCATCTTCCCCTCTTCTGTACATTCAAACTTCGTCTAGCTTTGCGTCTTCCAATTGCAAAACTAGCTGGATCCATCAACCTCTCCTGGGAACTGTAGTTCTGTGACAGGCAAACTGCAATGTGCAGGATTCTTCAGGGGAAGTCATGTGTTTTAATTGTTTGGTTTGTACACAGCCTGACATTCTTCATGGATGAATGGGGATTTGAGCCTGAGTCTCCCCAGTCCTAGTCTTAACACTAAATCATAATTCTAACTGGCCCTACTGGATCTTTGTCCATCAATGGAACTTAGGCAGATAACCTACTAGAGGTGGTGGAGGGGGAGAGAGATCCTCAGAATCTGGTTTCCAGAATTACACCTATCCCATGAATGACATGAACAATCTTTTAGTGAAAATCTGGAAGGAAAGTGATAAAGGGAAGGTGCAATACTAAAAACTTACAATGCAATTTTGCCTCAGTGAATTTCTGGCCTCCATTTCACAACTGTTTTAATACCAACAAACTATTATTAGGTACATAGTAGCATATAACAATGCCGGAACCACATTATTAGTTTGCTAAATGTATCTTTGCGCTGTATTTGACGGAAATATTTGTGTTCTTTTTTTTTATAAAGGAGTAACATAATGGGAAATTTCTGCATCACTCTGCAGTGGTACCACAAAGACATGGATTTACCGCATCAGTAAGAACTAGGTGTAAATTAAACAGTTTAGTTAAGCCAGTTGACCACAGACATTCAAACTGGAGACCTTTAATCCCAGTCTACAACATAGCTCCTACTTTTCACTTTTTATCCGTGTTTGTTTTTCTTTCTGCTTTAACGGCCAACTTGATAGATTATGACTTTCCCATTGAATATCAATATGGTAGTCTAACCAGTCTGTTTCCTAAATAAGGGAGGCAATATGGATTCAACACACAATATTGCATTATGTCTCAGTGTAAAGGTAGCTGCTTGGACCAAACCACCTTATAACCTTAATGAAAACTCTGGGATGTGTAATGAAGGAGGAGCATCAAACAGCAATTTTTGACAAGCAACACCTACATTCTGATACCTATAGAAACAGCTCGTATTTCAAAATCTGATTCAGATAAAAATTAGACTGTTGAAGACATCCATCAGAAGAGAACTACAAAACTATGAGAAATGCCTGCAGCATTTACAAATTATTCTAGCTTCTTTCTGGCACTTCATTTATAGTTACCTGTCACGTACACACCATCTCTAGTCTGGTAACAAGAATAATCTGTCAGTTGCAGTAATTAGGCCCCATAGAAACCCACCTTTGGGAAGAAAAGGATGTCATCAAATGACTATTTCCTGATGTGGAGTAACTGACAAGCATCACACAAACTTGCTTTACATGTGCTACCAGCAACAATAGTAAATGAAACATTTGTATACTGTGGGTCAGTATTTACACAACTCTGAAAACAAGGTTGCTGACGAATAGCTACATATTAAAACTTTAACTTTCAGAGAGGTGTAAAACAAGAGATGCATATGTTACAGATTGCTTTTCCATAAGCTCAAAGTGGTTTTCAATGAATAAATTGACACTTAAAATAGCATTTAAAACTGCAAAATAAAATAACAAAGCATGCAAGATTTATGTAAGACAACAAAAGATAACAGACTCCACCGGCTTCCAACTGAATTGGCTGAAATCACACCCTTATCAGACAGTTAAAAAGTCATTGGGAATCAGCACGTCTTCCTAAAACCAGCTACATACAACTTTGTAATCTGGGATTGAAATAATTCCACAGCATCAAAACCACCATTGTGGAGGCCCTGCTCCCAGCAGCCAAAGGTCTCACTTATTAATGGAATACAAAGCAGACCCTCATTTGATCTACTTATTTGGGGTGGAATTGACACAGGAGAGGTGGTCTCTTAAGGTGTATGAGTACCAGACCCTGAAGGGCTTTAAAGGTTTAAACCAGAAGCAAACTGGCAGCAAGTGTGGATGATATAGGTGAAATATGTTCAAAGCTCCCCAAATTTGTACTGATTTGGCTGAAAACACACTAGCAGCCAATGCAGATAATATGATGCTAGCTAAACATATTCACACCTCCCAGTATTCAAATGAGCCAGGCAGTTGCATTTTCTATCCACTGAAGCCTTCAAGAGCACAAAGTGCATTCAAGCCTTGAAGTTGATCACATAGTCAGATCACCTCTGTCCAAGAAAGGGCAGAACCTACATGATAAAATGCATCTGGTGAGATGCGTCTCTGGCCACCATAATTATCTGCTTATCAGAGATCTGGGAGTTGAGAAAAGTTTATACCTGCTCTAAGAGGAAGAGCAGTTTTTCAGGGTCTGAGGATGACTCGCCCACAGTATTTGTATTCTGTTTCAACCTGATTGCCTCATCCATCTGACAAAGCACTGGTTCGAGGCAGAAATGGCAGATTCCAGGTGCCTGATCACAGAAATCTAGAACTGGTTGTCATCAGCATACTGTTGACACCTCACTCCAAACCCCCAGATGAGCTTTATGACTTGATAGAGAGATGGGAGTGGGAAGACCTTTTTCAGCCAAGCACCATGTTCCCTGATGGACAATCTTCTGGTGGGTGGGGCCAGAGGCAAAAGTGGGTGGAGCAAAGTATGGCCACTACTGTTGTACAGTAAACTACATTTCAGTCACATATAAGTGAGATGTTTATACACACACCTATCACCATTCAGGCAAGCAAAAGGCATTTAAGGACACACTTCAACCAGGGAAAAGCAACAATTGGAAAAGTGTGCCAGTGGTGAGGGGTGTGGTCTGGGGATAGAGGGTGTGGCCTGGTGAGAGTTCCCAGGGCCTGATGAAGAAGTCTAGAGGGCCATATTCAGCCCTCCATCCAAGCCTGAGGGTTCCCACTCATATTATAGATATCATATAGCCTCTGTGACAATAAGGGAATTAAACCATCTGAGAGACAGCACTAATATTACAAACAGATGACATTCTTATGTCTTTCCAATGTAGAACAGTCAGAAGTAGCCTTGAATGCTCTTATTTAGACCTATGAATTTATTTTCGTTTTTTTAAAAGCTAATTTGGATTAGGGGAAACAGAAGTAATAGGTAAAAAAAAATTAATCCAGAGATTTATTTATTTATTTATTTAGGTAAGTTCAGCCAGACAGAACGACCTGTTCAATTTTTAGGTGTATATTTAACAAAAGAAGATAAGGATCTGTACCAGAACAACCTGATCACTGTACAGTAGTTTGAAAAGGAGGGGGGGACCCAAAAGTGACATTTTGATATGGTCAGCTCTGAATCTATATTTTATAGGGTGAATTCAAATATCCATTTCATCTGACGTGAACTTTATGTTGTCAGATGCTGATGCTAATGCTGATGATTTATAGGGGGGTGAGAGGGATATGAGTATCTGCATGTCTTTCGCTCCCTCCCCTTCCCTTCCCTGCACACACACGTGCAATGCAAGTAAACCAGTTTTGGATTGTGGTTTTCAGCAGAAAACTTGACAGAGAGGATGCGTTAAAGGACCATTTTTATTTTATTTTAGATTTTATTCTCTCTCCTTCCTCTTCCCTTCTGTGAATGTTCTATTTCAGATGCCTGAATCTGGTCAATTTTTGTCTTGAGATTTGCCAGTGCTCCGTTACCTGAACTGCATTGACTCTAGTTCCACTGTGTACATATTGCAGTTGCCTTTCCCCAAGAAAATAGAAGCCCTGGGCCCATATTTTGATGCTTGTGTGCTACTGAGACATATCTGTAATTATAAAGGAGCAAGTTTGAACTATAGAACCTTTTTCAGCCCAATAGTTATATTCCCTTAGGGGCAACCTTCCAGGGCCTATATTGTGGGGTCTCAGCTACTCCATCCTATTCCTCTCCCTTTGGTTTTCCATTCCCTCCTCCCAAAGTTAGTCAGCATTCTATGGCCACTGAGCTCACTCAGTCCAGTCTTGGTTTTGGATAATACCCCCCTTCTTTTCCTTACTTCAATATTGATGTATTTCTTCAAACCTTGCGATTCCCCCAAGCTTCACTCTTGAGGAGACGTTTACTTCTGATGAGTCCTTGCCTGTGGCCAGACTCCTGTTTGGATTGGCCAGGTTTCCCTTTGGTACTTAAGGCCCTTCCCTTCCCTTGGGACCCATTCAGCCTTAAGGTCAGAGACTGAACTCATCCTGGGTGCGGATGGCCCCTCCTCAGCATCATCACAGGATCCTGGCCCTCAGACAGAGAGCCTGACCTAGGGCTTGGTGTAAGGGCGGGTCTTCTGATGAGAAGTCCCCTGGCTAAGGCATGACAATCTCCCATCACCCCTGACCATTGGCCATCAGACAGGGGCTGATGGGAGCTGGAGTGCAACAACACCTGGAGGT